AGGATCTGGCTTTATGTTTAGTTTTTCTCCAGCATGGATCTACTTCTTTGCTGTTTTGCTGCTGCTTTGTTCTACGCTGTAATAAATAAGATTGCATAACTGTACAATTGCATATAATGTAAAATTTTAATCATTTACTGATTACAGTTTTTTTTACTGTAACCTTTTACAGTATTTTTTCTGTAACAATTACAACTTTTTACCGCATAGTAGTCTTCACTACGAACCGATTTAGATAAAACTGTGTACTGAGTAAACAAATCTGAGCTGTGCAATGAAAAACATAAAAACTGGTAAATGTCTCCATCCTGTGGAGTGACAAAGTATCGCACTTTCTTTATCATTTATGTCAGACGTTTGGATACGATTGTCGCATTTCTCCCCCTAGTGGCAGTCACAGAAACTTCAAATTGGTTGTGAAGCAACTGTTGCCCTCGGCTTTATTTGACATTTTGATTTAAATTAATATAATGAATGCATTGATATATCCACACAAAACAAATGACCCCCAAAATACAAACCTAGTAGGTATTATAGGACTATAAAATAAGTATTTCAGTCATAATTATTCTAAACCGCAATTTTACAAAATAATGTTGAAGTAGAAAAATACTGGTGATTCTAACCTCAGGCTCGTAGTTTGGATTAGAATACATCACATCTGGTGCATGATGCATGCAGTCTAGCTGCAGAAGTTTAATTATTTTAATGCATCCAAAGCTTAAATCGGATCTGAAATGTGTGCATATGTATATGATCAGAACTCCATGCACTACTGCTGAAACCCTGCTGGAAAAAAAACAAAAAACAACAACAACAATAGACACTATCGCAAAATTTGCAATGGTTTTACTGGTTATAATGTGACTTGTACTGGTTTTAATGGACCCTGTGGGTCTCTGGTAATTGGTCGCCTTCTATTGGTGGCTTGTTAAAACCACTAAATCCTAACGGAATATGTCCCAAAACACACTACAGAAAACCATTTTTAATGGTTAGAAGTGGATGGTTTGTAATGATATTTGTATTGGAAACCATTAGAATTTCTGTAATGGGTTCTATTGTTTTTTTCAGCAGGGAAGTGTGGACTCAGAGGAAGACAGCGAGGGTTTAGGATGCGATTTGGGACAGGACCCCAGTTTTCTGCAGAGATCAGGTCAAACCCTAATCAAACACACCGGACCCGACTAATAAAAGTCTTCAGGAGGATCGCTTGAAGAATCATAGGCAGGTGTGTTGAAGCAGGTTGAAATCATCTTCTCCAGCAGCAAGGATGAGTTCACTAACTAGCAGTCAGTATCTGCTTTTTTCATCCCCCATATTTGTAACAAATAGTATGTAATGCATATTTAATTCTAAAGTGAAGAACATTGTAACCAACTAGTAACGACTCAAATATTTCCAAACCATTCAGAATGAATTATTTGGAACCGTGTACTGAAGTGAAAAGCTTGCTGACTAATTATAGTAATGACTGAGGTTAATTTGACTGGATTTTATTGGTGTGATCACTGCAAAAAATAGTTTCTTCCTTAGTATTTTTGTCTTGTTTTTTAGTTTAAATATCTAAAAATTCTTGAATCAGGATGCATTTACTTGACAAGTAAAATTACTTAAGATATTTAAAAAATATCTGCCAGTGGGGTAAGAAAAATAATCTTAATTCAAAGACTAAACAAGATTATTTTTCTTACCCCATTGGCAGATCTTTTTGCTTGTTTTAAGCAAAAACTAACAACATTTTTTCAGAAAACAAGACATAATATCTTAAGTCATTTTACTTGTCAAGTAAATGCATCCTGATTCAAGAACTAGTAGACATTTACACTCGAAAACAAGACAAAAATGCTAAGGAAGAACATAATTGTTTGCAGTGATTAGTAATTCTCAGAGAAAAGTGTCAGCTACTGATGCAGTGCCGAGTGCACCCACTGAATATGAGTCCTGTTAACTGAGATTACAATAAAAGTTAAGTGATTAAAAAATATAATAACCTTACAAACCGTTCACAGCTGGCCCAATGATATATCAGTCATGTACAGTAGTGAAGGCAACCTAGTAACCAGGGGCCTCATTTATTAAATGTTGAATAGAAACCTTCCTACATTTGATCTTACGATTATTTCTCAAATGTGCATTCGTGTGACTCAGAAAGCGAATGTGCGTACACCTCTCTTCCAGATGTGGTTCTCTCTGAAGTGTGTACATTCCCCTAGAAGGTTCTTTACCACATCCAAGGGCGTTTTTATGAATCTGAACTTTGGCGGGGATTTGAACTAACACACACTGTAAGACCAAATCTGTGTGTACGCATGTTTGGTGTTGGGACTCTGTTCCTCCTCTGAGGAGCAAGAATTGAACAATTGTGTGTAAGGAGAAACTGTTATTGTGAACAGAAGGGGGCGCTGCTTGACCAGAAGTGACGAATCGTAGTAGATTATTTGAGGGTACAATGGCCAATGACAAACCAGGATCAGCCCAATGAAATAAAGTCAGATGTGTTTGATGAGACCATCATATTCAGGTTTCTGACATGGAAACCAAGCACATTTTCTAGTTCAGTGGTCAAAATATCACTGAAATCACACTCTAAGGGATTGATTTACGTCCTAAAACATTGCACATTTTTACCAGTTTTATAGAACAGCTGAATTTGAATT